GTGGGGGGGGGGGAGGGGGGGGGGGGGGGGGGAGGAGGAGACGGGAGGCAGTGGTGGAGGTGGTGTTGGGTGGTTGGGGATTCAGGGGGTGGACACAACCAGTGGGACAGCTGCAGTACCAGCTAGTCCCCCTTACCCCTGCCCAAATCCCTCCATCTCACTACCCTTCCTCGAAAGAAACGTCACTTATCTAGTCTCATGTGGGAGCAGCGCATACAGTTCTTTACCCAGCGCAAGATGGACGGCGAGGGGGTGAGGGGGGGATGTGAGGACATTATGAGGGGGACGTGCCTAGGGACCTGCCTGTTGTCCATGCTCAGCCATCTGTGGGGATGATCAGCAGGCCGCTGATGTGGTCCTCTCTTTGTGCTTTGCTGTTTGAAAAGGGTAAAGTTTAAGTGCTGCTTGTATTCAGCGCTGAGGGCTGACGGTCAAGCTGCAAGAGTTAGCTAAGCTCTAAAGCCTCGCTCAGAGTGTCTTCAGTGTGTTCATAGCTCAGAGTAACATTTCTTTGTCTCAAACACTTTTATAACGGTTATGCCTTACTATGACTTGTGGATAGTGATAGTTTTCTTTTGGGAGCATTGGACATACTCAAAATTAGAGACTCAAAAAGACAGAAGATTGTCATCGGGTGGCAGTGACACCATCACGATCAGGGTTAGTTTTGCTTCCAGTGATGATGATGAAGAAGGAATACCTCCAAATTTCCATTCAACAGATATTTCAAATTTTTACACAACTGGATGATCTAAACAGAGAATGACTGTAGCAGGCTACATTTAATCTTTTAGAATAGTCTTGATCTCAAACCATACTTAAAATGGTGGTCTATGCTCTATTTTAGGAAAACAACAAATTTAAGTTAACTCTACCAATGCTGGCAATTGGTGCTAAAAATTAGTAGTTTCTCTTCACGAGGGGTGTATATTTGTGTTCAAGTCTGTATTTTTTTTAAATTTGATCCTCTGATGAGCAGAAATATACACAATAACTTTTTGAAAAAACATTGAAGTTTTTTGTGTGATCATTCCACTCTAAAAAATGATTCAAATGTGTGTTTGTTCATTTCAGCATATTCATATGTTCCTACCAAAAATAAATGAAAAATATGTTGTTTTTTTTCCCCTCAATTTTAGAAAGTTTCTCCAAAATGCCTTTTTGTTCGGTTGTTACTGTGAACTCAATTTTACTCAGATTGGTTGGGCTTGGTCTTTCCTGTGTTACCTCTCCAGTTTATTGATTTAGTTATTCATTGTCTGCAAGTGTTTCTGATGGTGGTGTGACACGCCAAGTGGATTTCTTCCCTTGAACTAGAGCTTACGTTCATGACGATGTACAGAAGCTCTGTTGTCCTGGTCTCTTTGCCCTCTGAGCTCCTGCTCATCTGTCTCCTTGTCATGACAGACACATCTGCATCCTTAGCGCCCCCCTCTGATCCCTGATCTATTTCTGTTTTCTGTGAACTGCAACGTTGCCCCTGACCCTTCAATTTGAAAAAGGGCTGCCAGACTTGTGGTATGTACACAGCTAAAGGTAAAAATGACCTCACAATGTTCTTTTCCCCCATTTTAAACAGACATGCAAGTCGTAAGAGAACGACTCACTTTTATGAAGATGGCATTTGCTTTCTTTTCCCTCGTCCAGACCACGGGCCTTTTGCGTGCACTCTTCAAATTTAACCTCTGACCTGGGCATCTTGTGGGGTTAGCCCTTCCTGCGCTTACTCTGTGGCGTGTCGGGGGGTCGAGTGGACTGGAGAGCCCCGCAGTCGAGTAGAGGAGTCATCACTGGAGGGGGGGTTGGGAGACAGATGTTAAGTGGTGTGGCCAAGCTGTGATGGGTGGGCCAGTGGTCCATTTAGAACTCCAAGCTCATGCTGGGACACGGTACATCCTGACAGGATGACTGGACTCCTGACCTTATCAAAAATATCTAAATACGAAGGTCAATTTGTTAGAACATCACTTGTGCAGCATGTTAAACTGGAAACTCCTTGTGTCCTGTGGTTCTCTATCAGTTGCTTGTTGGTTGCAGGGCATCAGTGCGCTGTCTACAGCAGGGGCAGAACGACTCAGGAGAGAGGGAGGAGAAAGAAAACAGTTTCATCTTCTCTCATCCTCAAAATTTCTGAGGATGCACTTTTGCAACGGCGCACCGATATTCAAATGATGCACTTTATGTCACAGAATGTTTTTGTCCACCTCGAGAGGATGTAAATCAGATCCGTAAAGGCTCTGAATATTAAAGAGAAAATGATTCATGGGAATGATCGCTACATATCACAGAGTTCCATAACACAATGTGCCCATGCACCCAAGAGTGATAGGTGCCACATTGAGAGGGAGATGGAGAGTGGATTTGAAGGTTCTTTTTCAGTAAACATTTAAAAGAGTGGAGAAGTGAACAATGGCGTTAAGAAGGAGCTGTTTTGTTGCCCCTTTTTTAACCTAAATAGGCGGTCTGTCCGACCGAGGCCTCGGCTTCAAAGTATTATCCCACACATGCAATTACCATTTCTATCAACTGGGAGAAAGATTATGCTTTTTGGGTGTTCTTCTGTGTTTCTTCCAGTGGATTCACTTGGTGAATGTGACACGTTTTGTGTCCCCACACCCCCTATTGAATCTAAAAGTTCTCTATTCTCCAAGTGAGCCGAGGAGAGTCCTACATGCGGCCTGAATAGACACTAAATCTTTCAAGGTTAGGACTTAACCTTCTCTCCCTCTAATTCACCTTCAAACTTTAGTCTGAAACCAATCAATATCAGATGATTGGTAAACAATGTGCAGTGTCTGATAGGCAGGTACCAAGGACTCTCAATGGGATTGCAAATGCTTTGTGTGCTCAGAGTCGCTTTTGCTCTAAAGCACTGTCACAAAAAGTGAAATTACCATTCGCTTGGAATGATGCCATTCATCTTTGTCAGCGCGCCAAGCTCCGTGCGCTTGCCGCTCCCCTCAAATTAATTCCTTGTTTTGCATCAGTTGAATTTGCCCAAATCCAGGAGGATGGCTCAGGCTGCTCCTTGACTGGATTTTTCTTTTTTTTTTTTCTGTTTTAATGTGGCAATTCCAGATGATTTGACTATGCAGAAGGCGCGGCGCCTTTATATTATCCCTAATCCACAAAGAGAAGAGCTAGATATGAAAAGAAGTTAGGAAAATAAGACAAATTTGGGAGTGAAAATTCGGAGGCGGTGCATTCTCCGACCAGCAGAATTAGAGCTCTGTGTGCATAGCCTCCTGAGAGTTTGGTGTGATGCTTTTGTCAATTTGTCATTTCATGTTGCAAGAACTCCAGCACAAAGGTAATATCTTCCCAGAGGCTCACACCCGTGTAGTGTAATGGGAAAACAGTGTAGAATGGATGTCTGAAAAATGCATTTGTTATCCTGCATAATGTGTATTACCACATGTCCCAACAGTTAAAGTGTAATTTAGAGACCAACACAGAAGAAATGGTAAACAAAACTCAATGATTTATTTGCTCTTTGATCAACTTTTTAATGGCCAACCACAGAGGAAACTGTAAGTTGCTCTAAATCACTCTAAGTTTATTCAGAAAGCAAAGAACTTGTGCCTACCACAGTGCTTCTAAATATTTCAGCGAGTTCAGCTTCGGATTTGTTCGGACAATTGTTATTTATACTTAAGACAAACACAAATTATTGAACGTAACTTAAAAACACTTTAGAAGTAAACCTAACTTCAATGGCTTCCAAGAGTTTGTTTCAAGAGTGTGGTACAGTGTGTGTGCTAGTTCTTGCAGGGTTGGGTTGGTGCCTGTCTCCAGCAGTCATCTTTAGGCACGAGGCAGGATATGCCCTGGTCAGCAATCCATCACCTGGAAACACAGAGACACACAGGACAAACAACTACGCATGTGAATACTCTTACTTAGGAGCAATTCAGAATGATGAGTTTGTGTTACGGGATTTTGGGAGTAACTCGGAGTGTCCACGTGCGCAGGGGAAGCACATGCAAACTCCACGAAGAAGAACCGTTGTTGCAAGGCAACAGTGCTATTAGCTGCGCCACCATGCAGTCCATTCAGTTTGAGTAAGCTTCTAGATATATAAAAATACGAAGGCGAAGAGTAATAGTTTTTTTTTGTTGTTGTTGTTCTGTTTGTAAGGAATGAATATGTAAATGTGAAAAAGAAAGTGCTGTAATCAACTTCAAGTCAAAATCTGAGCATATTTGAAACTTTTCAGAGTGTAAAATTAAGATAATGCCTTTTAAAGTTCTTACAGAAATCCTATGAAAAAAGAAACATCTATTACTCTTGGAAAAGAGAAAAAGCTTGTAAGTTTAATTTATTCCCTCCAGCTCTGAACTAGTGTCCAAACGCCAGCTGGCATTTTAGTGGTCAGCCCTTTTCCTCTTGTTTGTTTTGCTTTTTTCCCTCTACAACTCGCGTAGATGCTGCCTTGGCGTTGTGTCACAGTTACCACAGTGACAGATGTGATGAGATTTTAAGAGAGGGTCATTTCACTGTCCTCTGCCTCTCCAGCTTTGTTGCTAAAAAAAAAAAGTTTCGGAGGCTAATTTATGGTTGCAGATGACTGTGACCAGTGATTTGTGATTCCTGGTGTTTGTTTATGGAGCATACAGGCTTGTTTTCTCCATCTTATCTGCAGGCAAACAGGACAGTGCTGTTTGACAGGATGTATTTAGATGTTTGCTGTTTCCAGCAACAACGTACAACGACGTGCTATTACTGGGAACATTAACTGATGTCCCCCAGGGTTCAAAGGCCTTTTCCTGTCTCACTCTCTGTCTTGAGTGTGCCAATTTCATGTTCAAAAAGTTTTGTGTGTGGATGTTTTCTGCGTACATTTTAAGAATCAAAGTCTTTTGCGAGAACAGAGCAGGAATAAAAAGAGAGAAGAGCTGCTGGTGAAGAGAGGGTCAAGCCTGAGAGACAGCTCTTCACCTCAGACACCTGCATCTCTCCACAGATCCCTCATCAATGACTCACATTGTCCTAAGGCTCTGCCATTGTCCGATGAAGGACCCTCCAGACTTGCTCTGAATACCTGCCTGCACCACTCCAAGTGGACCCGACCCGGCTCTACCCTAGAAACGGACAAAACGGTGGATTCCAAAGAGCCGGCCTCTTGGCATTCCCCTGTCTTTGAGAGATAAAGAGCAAAACTTTGGCCTGATTCACTCTGCCGCTCTTCATCCCTCTCGAGAGAAAACAGGAGATGAGGAGAAGCACTTGCAAGGGGCAGTGGAAGGGTGGTCTTAGGGTCACAGAGTGATTAGTGAGGAGTAGAGTTGTGCTTGCTTTTTGTTTTTCTTTTTCTCTATGGTCCTCCTCTTCTGTGGTCACTGAGAAATGACTTCCACTGGGTTTACTGGGGAGTGTGGGTGTAGAGGGAAGTGAAGGAATTATTCCCTTCTGTCTGTCTGGACTCTGTATAACCTGTCTGACAAGATGGATGTTATTTTAAGGGAATCCCCTCCCAACCGTCGGCACAAATGAAGCTATTGTAGTCTCTTTGCTGATCCTCTCTTTTGCTTCTTGCTTACTGTAAATGGAAACTTTAGAAGGATCCTCAAAATTGGGTAGAAATAAAATTTGAGCTCAAAACCCAAACCATGTTTTAAAGAACCTTCAATCAGCGATGAATACACCAGGCAACATTTGACTAGTCCATACTTTGCCATGTTTGTTCCTGTCTAATTCTAATGAGGTTCAAATGGCAAAAAAAGAAAATAAAAAAAAAAAAGAATTGGAAACATTTTTCTTTTGTGTGCATTTACAAGTACAAGGTCTAAAATTCTATAACTTTTTTTAAAAAATTCTTTTCAGTGTAAAAGTCTCCTGTTAATTTTTGATGTCTGTATAATTTTATATTTTGTTCTAGAGATCATCAAATGCAGTGCACAAAATCTAATATACCAACTTTACCAGACAAGCACATGATGACAGCAACCGGATATTTCTTCATAAGACACACTTCAGTATTAGATCTATATTGTTCTTTTAATATTGAGAGATATTATGCCACAAGATCTTGCGTCGTGCCTATTATTTTGTGTTGGGCACTCGCAGAAATATGGGTTTAGATTTATGGTGCAACAAATACACTCACAGAAGGGCACGCACTTTTAACTCATACTTACAGAAGACCCCTGCTGTAGATCTGGAGCTACCATGCACACAGGACCGGAGAGAAGTTGAAGTTGGAAGTGATTAGGGAGAAATACGCCCGTCTCCGAGTAATGTCAGTAATAGGCAGCAGCACATCAAAGTCCAGGCCCTGTCAGAATGATCCGGATCAAACCGGCCTCCATCTGGAAGCCATAACAGACTTTTCACTCAGTTAAACACTCTTAAAACACACTGAACAGACACGGAGCTCCCGTCTCTGCTCGCCACTCACCACCCCTCATATCAGCACCCTGCTCCCTCAGCATCTGTGTGTGACTGTATGCGTGTCACTATCTCAGTTTCATTTACTTCTATGTGTATTTTCGTACAAAACAGTTACCCCAATTTTTTTCAAGTTTGCGAAAGTAAGGCTTCTTTGTGTGCATAAAAGAAGATATGTAGCCATTTCCTGATTGAGCAAGTTGATATTTTAAAGCAACGTCAAAGTCCTTTATAAGAGACATATCTGTTTTTCTGCATCATCTTGTCTCATAGAAAAGTACTTTGACTGCTCTGAAAAGCTAAGCTCTATTCCGAAACAGCAAAACAAACTGCTCCACTCCTGCTTGACTGGACTTCTGGACACATATTATCTTTGCAAACACAAGTCGGACACAGTTTTAAGTGTATTTTAATTGGCTTTGAGCCGCCTTCCTAAAGTAAACAGCTGGCGATGTAAGCTGGCGGTAGCGGTGCGCTCGGTGACTGACGGGTGGCCCGCAGTCAGGGTGGAGTGGAGTCCCGTTCCCTCTCTGTCTGCTCTACCGACAATCAGTCCAACACAGGAGCCCATTGTGTTTGTGTGCTGGCGTGTTTGTTTTATCTGACTAACCAATGTGTGTGTGTGTGTGTGTGTGTGTGCGTACTCATGCCTCACCGTCTGGATGCGTGAGAGTCGTAATGAACGTGTCACTTTAAGGGGCGTTTCTTGTTTGAGCCGAGCACACTCGCTACCGTAAAAGACCGTAACACCCTGGGAGATAGCATCTTGAGCTAAAGTGCAAGTGATTTAACACCAACAATTAAAGTAGACGTGTCAGCAGGCGGCAAAGGTCCCCGCTGAGACCGGACGGGGAGTAGGCCCTCACGTCTATCTCCACCAGGCGTAGAGACCGGGTGGAGGGGGAGGCGCTGGCTCCTCAAGCCACTGATGCTTTTCAGATTCAGTTACTTTCATTCATTTACCTTTTAGATAAACCATCTTCTTCCTTTCTTTTTTTTTCTCTCTCTTTTTTTTGAAAAACAGTACACCATCTTTTGATCAAAATGCAAATAAAATTATTTCACTACTGTCTGTAAACTGTTAAGAGTTGTGTAAACAGCTGATTTTGGTTGTGGAGTCTAAAAAAAAAAAAACCTAGTTTTATTCATTGCATAAGTGGATTTACAGTAAAAATGCAGAATGGATGGGAAATGTCAGAGAGGTTTAAACTGGAGCATATGGAGAAAAGCACTAAAAACTTCTAGTTTTTACAAGATCCGAGGATCTCGCTCCCAACACGGCCAACTCCTCTCTCATAAAATCTATGGACCATCCATTATAAAGCACCCAGGCCCTTATGAATCGCTCTGCCCAGACCCAGCAATGGGGCCTTCTGCCTCCAAATCCCCTCTGGAAGTGTTTGAAAAACAAAGCGGGGCTTCACTTCAACCTCATTAACTAGTTATAATAAACAAAACAATGTGTTTTTAATGGATGCTAAGTCCTCCTCCCATCCAACTCAACTCTCCCCCCCCTGCCACCTAGCTCTGGTCCAGAGTCACTGGCCAGCGGTGGGTTTCCCATGACTGCAGCTCGTGGTGTCACGATGATGGATGGGCAAGGTTGGCGGGGGTTGCCTCTTGCCCCTTCTCCTTTGGGATGTCCCACAAACTGACAGGCGCATTGTGGCACTCGACCTATTGCCGACGCGCTGCTCAACCGGCTGGCACAGTCACGTAAAGCACCAGAAAATGCCCTATTTTCTGCTTCCATAATCAGATTCTGGAATTACACATCTAGGAAAAAAAAGAGGGAAACATGGTCAAAGAAGTGAAATAGGTTTTGCAGGTTCTTGATTGTTTTGTACAGGTGTAAAACACAAAAGTTAGACATATTTATCTATTTGTAACGCAAATAGCTGTTACAAATAGATAAATATGTTGCAAATAGCAACAGTTAGCTGCTAGCTAACTGTTGCTATGTTTGATAAAGATGCAGAGATAAAAATATTTTTGAGGCCAATTTCCAATCAGCAATATTTTACTGTTCAATCTTGGCAAAACCAAAGTTAGCCGATTCTGAGCTATGAGAACAAAACATGTTTATTGCAATTCAGACAATATTTCTGTTAACAAAACTACCTCTTTGCATTATTGAAAATTTCCCAATAAATATTAATTCTCCAGGTTGTGGGGCAAAGGTATCTGTATAGGAAACTCAACTTAAAAGTATCACAGCCGTTCCCGTTTATGTCTGTACAAGACAGATTACTTTTCATATTTTTTTGCCAGCCACAAAGCATTCAGGCACATTATATCACAAGGCATTTAATTTTTTGTACAAGGCCATTTCAAAGTATGTAACAGTGGAAAAATATTCCTGATTTTTTTTTTTTTTAAAAGTAATACATTAGTAAATAATCCATGTATTGCAAACATAAACCTTCCACTTACTTCCTGAAGTTTTAACCCAGTGCTTCAAAGTAACAGACTGAGTAAATATCATGCACAGTATATATAGTTTGTAAAACATGTTGAGTTTACAACGTTCCCCCTGGAATGTGTTGCCATGAACACAACCTGCTAGCATTTTGGTATGGTGTATCACTGATCAGGAAAAGGTTTTTATGTTTATGAATAGCTGATCCGTTTGTCATGGCCAGGAAAGAGTAAAACCGACCAATTCCAGCCATTCGCCGATTACTCTGTGCATCTCCACTGTTTAGCTGCGCTCACATCAATGGTGGACTGCAGAAGAGCAACCAAAGTCCAGATAGCCAAAGACACGACGCGTGTTGGTATGCCCCTTCTTTTTCCACCCCCTCTCTCTTTTTCCCTTTCATACTCAGTCACACACTCGTCTCACCACACAGAGAGCTGTCGAAATAAAAGTCTCTAAGCTAGTGTAAAACAATCCAATAACAGCCAGCACCTCTCAAAATACAACAATAGCTCAGTTCATGCTGGTGTTGTAAAACAGCTCAGCCCATTACCCGCACACGTTTGTATCTAAATTGTAAATTTGCCCTTTGGGTAATCACACATTTTTTCCTCTACTTGGTGACTTTGGGATTAGAATAATAGCAGTGTTAGTGTAGATTTGTGAATGTGGAAGTACTTTTCACACTTATTCTTACATTGTGTTCTAGGCTCGCTTCTTTTTCCATTTAGTACATGCAGCCGTCTAGAAAGGATCTTTTTCGTCTGCTTACTTTTTTTTTTCCCCCCCCTCAGGGGTAACTGCATTGTAAGCTTCATTAGGTCAAAGGTCATTTGAATAGAAGGAGAAGATATCAGCCTGGGACAGACATGGTGTGAGGGTGTTAGTGACCATGACCTTGGTGACACTGTTCAACATGTTTGTAAACAGGATGTCATTAACACTGGGAACTGGCCCGGCTTCACAATGACTTTTGTCTCCTCTCGTTTGAGCAGAGCGAGTCGATCGAGAAGGGGCGGGGCGGGCCGGAGAGCAAAAAAAAAAAAAAAAAAAAAAAAAAAAGAAACGGGGATCAGAGGGTGATGTTGATCAAATTTCAAATAAAACACTTTGCGTACTTCCACTGATAAATCAGCGCCGCAGAAGCAGGACCCGCCCCTCTACTGTTCTGTCCAAGCAACGTCCAGGTCGACTTTGTCACATCAGATAGGCACGGGGCTAATGTGATGAAATTTATGGCTGGCTGTGGCCGCTGTGCTAATACAGCTGCGAATTGTGCAAAGCCTGTTCCAACTGCACCCAAACTGTCAGCTCTTATTGTGGTGTCAGTCCTTCCTTCTAATTAGTGTCCACAGCGGGCAGGAAGTGGGCCTGGGCTGGACTAATCTGTCAGTGAGGCCAGACCATCCTCGCCCCAGCGACTGTTTCCTTAGATAAACTCGCAGCCCTTTATCTAAAAGTGTAGCAGCACTCAGGGGGTCTGGGAAGCCCCTGGTGATTTTGTTATTATTTCTTAGATGTGGATATTGGATGTTTAATCCTGAACTGGATGGAATGCGTGTCGTCACAAGAAGTTTGTTTATCTCATCCGGATGAGCATAGACCACTTGAGGTGGGCGGCGTCTAAATCGGAGAGCTGACGAGCGAGGTGACAGGTGTTGATTGAGCATGAGAAGGAGGAAGTGCAGTAAAAGACACTTCCTGCTAGACAATTTTATCAGAAAGTGAGCAAAGAGGTCGAGGAAAGGTTGACTGGGGTTATCGTAATCATGTAGCCATGTACCGTTATACATTCGGCTGAGGCTTCAAAAGCCTTTGTAGGCCCGGCAGCAGACCACAGTTGCTGACCAAGGTGACTGTCTCGCTAATATAAACACTGTGTGAGTGATAGGCACACTTTTGGGACTATGAAGTGCAGAAGCTGCGTTTTGTTTTGTGGTTCAACAGGTCACGGAATAGGAGGAACTGCTGTCCGAGGGAGCTGAGGTTGTTTGTGTATTGTCTGTGGGCACCGGCACTTCCTGGAGAGATAGAGCACGCTCAGATGGATGACCAGGCTGTCTTTTAGAGGCTAATGTACAAAGTGAAAACACACAATGTGAAAAGCAAGACACACACAGCTTAGAAACTTTGCTGGCACACCCTCAAACTCCTCGAAAAAAACAGATGCCCAACACACGCTCAAACAGGAAAAGAGAAAGTGAGCAAAGCATGAAAGGAGAGTTCCGTGTTACCTCTTCAGCTTCCTTCATCTCTTTCCTCTTTCAAAGCGGGCCAAAAAACTTATTTCAAAGTTGTGGTTACAAGTAGATCTCAATTAGACTTGCATATATACTGAATTTGACATATATTTACATATATTTGGTGTAAAAGCAGTAAGGTCGACAAAAAATCCGTCCATCAAAAATGACAAAGAAATACAAATCAAAACCTAAATCTTTAGACCTTTCTATGTTTTTCTTTTTTTTTTTTTTTTTAACTCCAAGCATGAACTTGATTTACTTTGAGACCAAGCAATTTTGCTGGATCTGAACCTAGGCAAAATTTATAGGCTTATGTCAGCGAAATAAACGTAACATTGATTCATGGCTAAATGAGTTATAAGTGCAGCCGTAACATCAAAATTGCATCTGTTGCTTAAAAAAATCACTGTGCGGAATGAAAGGCAGTATTTCTTTTATTTGAGAGGTAAGCCCTGTGAGAGCAGTGGTAAACATGTCAACATGTTTATGTATTTGTAGTGTAAGGGCAGGAGGAACCAATACCTATTTTTATCTAACATGTCATTGAAC